CGGACTCCACGCACAACTTCCCACTACTGTCCTTGACCGGCCCCAATCTTACTCTAGTCATTCTTTTATTCCTGACATACCTATAGAAAGCTTTAGGGTTTTCCTTGATCCTACCTGCTAAAGACTCCTCATATCCCCTCCTGGCTCTTCTTAGCTCTCTCTTTAGGTCCTTCCTGGCTAACTTGTAACTCTCAAGCGCCCTAACTGAGCCTTCACGCCTCATCTCTACATAAGCCTCCTTCTTCCTCTTGACAAGAGATTCAACTTCTTTAGTAAACCACGGTTCCCTCGCTCGACCACTTCCTCCCTGCCTGACAGGTACATACTTCTCAAGGACACGCAGTAGCTGTTCCTTGAACAAGCTCCACATTTCAATTGTGCCCAGCCCCTGCAGTTTCCTTCTCCATCCTATGCATCCTAAATCTTGCCTCATCGCCTCATAATTGCCTTTCCCCCAGCTATAACTCTTGCCCTGTGGTATATACCGATCCCTTTCCATCGCTAAAGTAAACGTAACCGAACTGTGGTCACTATCACCAAAGTGCTCTCCTACCTCCAAATCTGACACCTGGCCTGGTTCATTACCCAGTACCAAATCCAATGTGGCCTCGCCTCTTGTTGGCCTATCTACATACTGTGTCAGGAAACCCTTCTGCACACATTGGACAAAAACTGACCCATCTGAAGTACTCGAACCATAGCGTTTCCAGTCAATATTTGGAGAGTTAAAGTCCCTCATAACAACTACCCTGTTACTTTCGCTCCTATCCAGAATCATCTTTGCAATCTTTTCCTCTACATCTCTGGAACTTTTTGGAGGCCTATAGAAAACTCCCAACAGGGTGACCTCTCCTTTCCTGGTTCTAACCTCAGCCCATACTACCTCAGTAGACGAGATGTCATCAAACGTCCTTTCTGCCACTGTAATACTGTCCTTGACTAACAATGCCACACCTCCCCCTCTTTTACCACCTTCCCTGATCTTACTGAAACATCTAAACCCCAGAACCCGCAACAACCATTCCTGTCCCTGTTCTATCCATGTCTCCGAAATGGCCACAACATCGAAGTCCCAGGTACCAACCCATGCTGCAAGTTCACCCACCTTATTCCGGATGCTCCTGGCATTGAAGTAGACACACTTCAAACCACCTTCCTGCCTGCCGGTACACTCCTGCGACCTTGAAACCTTATTTATGACCTCACTACTCTCAACCTCCTGTACACTGGAGCTACAATTCAGGTTCCCATCCCCCTGTTGAATTAGTTTAAACCCTCCCGAAGAGCATTAGCAAATTTCCCCCCCAGGATATTGGTACCCGTCTGGTTCAGGTGTAGACCATCCCGTTTGTAGAGGTCCCACCTACCCCAGAATGAGCCCCAATTATCCAGGTATCTGAATCCCTCCCTCCTGCACCATCCCTGTAGCCACGTGTTCAACTGCTCTCTCTCCCTATTCCTCGCCTCGCTAGCACGTGGCACCGGTAACAAACCAGAGATAACAACTCTGTTTGTTCTAGCTCTAAGCTTCCACCCTAGCTCCTTGAATTTCTGCCTTACGTCCCCGTTCCTTTTCCTACCTATGTCGTTGGTGCCTATGTGGACCACGACTTGGGGCTGCTCCCCCTCCCCCTTAAGGATCCCGAAAACACGATCCGAGACATCACGGACCCTGGCACCTGGGAGGCAACACACCAACCGCGAGTCTCTCTTGTTCCCACAGAATCTCCTATCTGTCCCCCTAACTATGGAGTCCCCAATGACTAATGCTGTCCTCCTCTCCCCCCTTCCCTTCTGAGCAACAGGGACAGACTCTGTGCCAGAGACCTGTACCCCATGGCTTACCCCTGGTAAGTCGTCCCCGCCAACAGTATCCAAAACGGTATACTTGTTTTTGAGGGGAATGGCCACAGGGGATCCCTGCACTGTCTGCCTGTTCCCTTTCCGTCCCCTGACTGTAACCCATCTACTTTTTTCCTGTACCTGAGGTGTGACTACCTCCCAGTAACTCCTCTCAATTACCCCCTCAGCCTCCCGAATGATCCGAAGTTCATCCAGCTCCAGCTCCAGTTCCCTAACACGGTTTCCGAGGAGCTGGAGTTGGGTGCACTTCCCGCAGATGAAGTCAGTGGGGACACTAGTGGTGACCCTTACCTCCCACATTCTACAGGAGGAGCATACAACTGCCCTAACATCCATTCCCACTGTTCTGAATTCCCAAACAGACAAATAAAAAAAAACTAGTAGCCTTACCAAATCAGCGCTCAGAACCTTTTTTTTTGGTTAGAGGAGGAGGATGGGTGGAAGACACTACCTAGGTAGTGTTTCGGGTAAAGCAACCGCCCAAATATATTGAATCAGAGATAGTAGGAACTGCAGATGCTGGAGAATCCGAGACAACAAGGTGCAGGGCTGGATGAACACAGCAGGCCAAGCAGCTCCTGTTCGCCCAAATATATTACCTCACTTACTCCAAAAATGGAGTCACGCGAGGTAGGACTTTTATAATCGAAAAGCTCACCTTCCCAGGCTGCCCTCGCACTTCCTCCCGGACTCCCACCGCTGAAACAACTGAAAGCTGAAATTGAATTGCACCACTGTCTCTAACCTCAAGGCCTGGCATATTCCCACTCTACCATTACCATCGTGGCAGAGGACCAACCCTAGAGCATGCCAGGAACAGCACCAGGTGTACCTGAAAATGAGATATCGACTTGATGAGGAGGCAGCTCACAGTTGTATGCATTCTAAATAGGAGGTGTAACACATTGGAGACTGCTGTGATCCCAAAAGCAAATGATCAAATCACATCCAGTTGTGACTTGTGGTAGACATTTACAAAGCTGCTGGGAGAAGAAGGCTTTGTGAACAGCTCCGTCCTCAATGATGGAGGGGGAGCCCCGCACGTCAGTACAAAAGATAAAAGGTTATCTAAGACAGAAGTGGGGAGAATTATTTCTCTGAGAGGGTGATGGATCTCGGAAACCATCTTCCTCAAAAGGCAAAGGAAGCAGAGTCTTTGAATACCTTGTGAGACAGAATGGATGTATATACAGGAGGTGAAAGGCATCAGGGTGTAGGCAAGAATGTGAAGCACTCAGATTAATGAATGGTGGAGAAGGCTCAAGGAGCCAAGTGGCCTACTCCTGCTCCTATATTTGTAAATCTATTCAGGCTGTGCTTCATTTTGTTCATGCATTAACCTGATCATTTTACCTTGATTTACTGATTCCCCGGGAGCATTCACAACAATCTTCAGCCAGCAGTCCTGAGTGGGTGATCCACCCTGGCCTCCCCCAGAGGTCCCCAGCATCACAGATACCAATTTGTAGCCAAGTTGTTTCATTCCACATGATATCAAGAAAGGACTGCAGGCACTGGACACTGCCAAGGTTGTGGGAAAAGTCCCAGCTGTAATCCTGAAGACGTGTGGTCCAGAAGTCCCACCTGGCTCGAGCGCAGCTGACAGCTTTGGGTGGCACAGTGGCTAGCACTGCTGCCTCACAGCACCAGGGACTTGGATTCGATTCCACCCTCGGGTGACTGTCTGTGTGAAGTTTGCACATTCTCCGTGTGTCTGCGTGGTTTCCTCCGTGTGCTCTGGTTTCCTGCCACAGTCCAAAGATGTGCAGGCTAGGTGGATTGGCCGTGCTAAATTGGCTGTAGTGTCCACGGATGTTTGGGTTAGACAAGGTGAATGGGTCTGGACGGGATTCTCTTCGGAGGGGCAGTGTGAACTTGTTGGGCTGAATGGCCTGTTTCCACACTGTAGGGATTCTATGATTCTGTGATAACATACTGCACCTTGAGCAAGGGTAGCAGATTCAAGGGAACACCACCACCTGCAAGTCATATTTCCGAGTCAGGATGGTGAGTGGTGATGGAGATGGTCATTGCCTGGCATTTGTGTGGCGTGAACTAGCTTTGGTTGTTGCACATATCCTTTCTGATTTGCAGGTACAAGCCTAGCCTATCCAACCTTTCCTCACAAGAAGTTCGGGGTTCAAATCCTACTCCAGGACTTGATGTCCAAGGCAGATGTGTTCATAATTTGGCAAACAGGCTGACGATTGATTAGTAAATCCTTCAAACACACCTCAATGACAGTCATGCAGTAGGCAGGAATGTGCCTGGTGCTACTCCTGACCTGTATGTTGCTAGAGTAACTCAGATCCCCTGAATAATCTGTAATACTACCATCACCACCCCCAAAATCCATGCTCCCTTATTCTGCTTTTTGGAAATTCAAATATGCAAAATCTGGTTCCTCTTTAGCAACCTTATTCATTACATCTTTGGAAAATTTAGTATAATTTTTAAACTGATACTTTGTTAGGATTTCCTTACAAATAGATTCCAGCATTTTCCAAACAAGTGATGCCAGCTAACTGAAACAAGCACAGGGAATGCTGGAGAAACTCAGTCGGTCTGTGGGCAGCAACAGTGGAGAGTTCCTGGGATTGTACTAGAGTTAGGTCCGATAGGTGGGATTAGGTTCTGTTACTGGGATTTTTTTCTGGGATCTGGTTCTGTTACTAGTTTTTTTTAACTGGGATCAGGTCCCTTTTTTTTAATTGGAATCAGGTCCTGTTACATTTCTTTTTAACTGGGATCCGTTCCAGTTGCTAGGGTTTTTATTGGGATCAGGTCCTGTCACTGTGTTTTTAACTGGGATCAGGTGCTGTTACTGGAATTTTAACTGGAATCTGGTCCTTTTACTGGGATTTTTACTGGGATCGGGTCCTGGTACTGGGATTTTAACTGGGATCGG